ATCAAAGGAACCTGCTGTGGTTGTCTTTTTGAATACACATATTGTGCGTATGGAGATTCATTGAGTGTGAAAGGAAGAATATATATGTATATAGTGCATATATATAATTATATAGATATAATTATGTATTAATTATGTATATATATATAATTATATATATAATTGTATATATAATTATATATATATAATTATCGTTAACGTATCTACACAGTCTACACAAACATATAACATTATATATATATGGAGGTTCCCTAAAATAGGGGTACCCCCAAATCATCTCTTTTAATAGGATTTTCCAATAAAAAAACATCCAGCTATTGGGGTACATCCATTTATGGAAACCTCCAGCATCGGCTCGAAACAGGATCATCTCACTGTTGATGTGGCCATTCCATCATCGCCGCACAAGTCCATCCCTGAGACACTGAACCATGACTTGACCCCTTGGGACATCAAAGCAGTGATGACTTGGGAGGTCACCACGGGGATTTTCTGGCGATTTAATGATCATAATTCATGGGATCCAATGATTTCCAATGGCAATAAAGTATGATAAAATTGAATGATGGTCATACTAATGGTCATTTATGATGGCAATAAATTAATATAAATGATGGATTCCAATGGCAATTTCATGGTCATTTAATGGTCATTTATGGCTGTTCACTGGATTTCATCCTCTAATTTCATCCATGTTGGGAAAGTCTGATTGTAGCTCCGTAGGGCTCCCCATTCTAATTTCTACGGAATCTGGGTCATGGCTCCGAACAGCTCACCCCAACAGATAGTTTGCGTTGGAACAACTTCTTCAACCACCACAATTTTGTTCAACATCCTCAAAAGAGGGATTTTCCATGATTTTCCTATCTTGACTTAGGAAAATTGAGTTGGAACAACTTTTTCATCCACCCGATGTTCAGTCTATTTGTTTTGCATGACGTAATTGATCATCTTTCCCTTTTTCAGCGCCAAGGAGCTTGTGGATGGGTGGAAGCTGCGCTTTGCCTGGGCTTGAAAGGAGAATCCCTGGTTTTGATGACCTGCCAAGCCATTTTTTGGGGCTGTGTGATCTGCGAAGTGAACACTGCCCAAATCATCAAATCATGGAAAATGACACACTTTTGAGTCTTAGTAATCTTACGCGCAAACACCCCGATTTGCCCACACCCCTTCTATGCTGCACACTTGGGGATATCAAACGTTAGACTTTACATTCAATTGGGAAGATCAACAAGGGTATTTAGGGAATATAAATTTCCCACCCCGTTAAACTTTACATTCATTGAAGATCTTCAATAAGGGTTTAATTCTCCCACCCCCGTTAAACTTCTACATTCATTGAAGATCTTCAATAAGGGTTTAATTCTCCCACCCCGTTAAACTTCTACATTCATTGAAGATCTTCAATAAGGGTTTAATTCTCCCACCCAGGTTAAACTTCTACATTCATTGAAGATCTTCAATAAGGGTTTGATTCTCCCACCCCGTGAAACTTCTACATTCATTGAAGATCGTCAATAAGGGTTTAATTCTCCCACCCCCGTTAAACTTCTACATTCATTGAAGATCGTCAATAAGGGTTTAATTCTCCCACCCCCGTTAAACTTCTACATTCATTGAAGATCTTCAATAAGGGTTTGATTCTCCCACCGCCGTTAAACTTCTACATTCATTGAAGATCTTCAATAAGGGTTTGATGATGATGATGATGATGATGATGATGATGATGATGATGATGATGTGGATGTGTAAGAGACTCGCACAGGTCTCTATGCTGTGCGTGCCGATATACAACATGAAGTTAGCCATGGTGCAAAAAACTCCCATGTTTATCACGTTTTCAGCACATACGAATATGGCCGCCGACAAGCGCGGGCAAATCGAGGTGTTTGCCCGTAATCTTAGTATCTAATTTGAATCGTCTGTTTACTCATTTGCACTGGGGCTTGGACCTCGCGCATCACCGTAGATCTTGAAGTCCTGTCACTGGGGACTGTTATTTTTTCCGAGCAAAATAGTTGGTACTGGATGGATGTTACTAACATCCATTAGTAATCATTAACATCCGTTAATAATCATGAATATCCATTGAAAATTAATGATAATCAGTATCTGAGGAGTCTGGATGTCAACCTTACACTCTAATTGACCTCATGAATAATTCTTAGACCCATTCAGCACAAAGGGAGGTTCATTGATTGCCAGAGGCTAGATGCAAATTCACATGAGATCAACCATTTTGCATCACTCTTCCTCACGGCCACTGGAAGACCTACTTGCTTCGGGCTGGAAACCTAGCGGCCTAGCGGTTGCTCAAAATGCTCCCTGGATCTGGTGAGGAATCTGGATACCACCCACCAGCCTCGCGCAACTTCAGCAACTTATCACCCACCAGCCGCGGCTGTGACACTTGCTTTGGCAGCATGGCCTCAATTTGCCCCACTTTCCATCCCTTTTTCGCAGTGGATTCTCGCTGTGGAAAAAGTCGACAAAATGATCATCGGGGTTGAAATCCCAATGACATCCCACTTCCATACTTCCCCAGGTGTGGCCCCTCGCTGTCCAGTCTTGTTGCATCCGCGAGTTTCTCTAAAAACGAAAACGGCATTTCTTCGCCGGGTGAAATGATCCCAATGATCTCGGACGAGAGGCTGGCAACAGACCTCCCTTCTGCAGTCCTGGCGCCAAACAAATCCCCCGGTCAAAAGTCACCCAACCATTGGCATTCTCAGCATGTGATGGGGACTTTCTGGTTGCACTTCTCAAAGACACTTGAGTTCTGTATTGTCGTCTTTTTTTCACTGTTTTCCCCCTTGCTTTGGGTAATTACGTTCCCCAAAAATATTCCCAACACCCAGGCCCAGTGATTGCCTATCATACCTATGCCTATCCCAACAGACAGTTTTCCCAGCGGTTTTGCAGGTCCATGATGTCGTGATTTTGGGTTCCCACTCGCTCCCAGTTCAGCGCCTTCATCGGGGCGATAGCCAAAGCTGGTCTCCGTTTCTGGGCGGTGCAGGGGACGTGATGCGTGTCTTTCCATCATTATAAGACCCGGCAAGATCAGGAGTGGTGCCGGGCACTTTTTTCTGAAATGTTGCGATGTCACTTTGGGTTCACCACTGTCCAAGTGCCTAAGAACTGACGGATATTTGGATAAGCATCAGATATACTTGCTCACACCATCTCAAACATGTTTAAACCACGGAGACATCACTAAATGTATCCCATCTCCGGGTGATGATCCTATCATATCCTATCCACTCCGTCAAGGCGCTGGATCTTCTCATTTTCATCATGCTGATGGACCGTGCTCCCGAGAGTTTCAAGCGAACCTTCGCCTCGAAGTGTTGACAAATGACTGGATCAGATCACGACTGGAATGACTTGGATCCACAGCTGCCAATGGTGCTAAATACCCTCTGGTAAACTAACATAACTATGGGAAATCACCATTTTTAATGGGAAAATCCACTATAAATAACCATTTTCAATAGCTATGTTAGTTTAGCAGAGGGTATGTCCAAATCCTCCCAAAAAAAACACGAAAAAAACAAAAAGGGCTCTGCACCTCCACCTCTTCGATGAGCTTTTCGAAGTGTTTGTACCACTTCCTGAGTTTCAAAAACCATCCTGTGGTCACGTCTGATCCAAATGGCAGTTCATGCCATGAAAATAGGCACAACCATGAGATACTGTATCTGTCATCTGGGACTGCTCATCATGGGGAGGTGAGGGTAAGAATGTGGCTGATACATCCAGAAACAAAAATGCTCTGCTATCCGAGTGTTATGACCAAATGATTCACAACATTGTCAGTTGAATGGCTTTTGCAAGTTGTGTGAGCAACATGTTCACAAAATGCCCCACACAAATCTTAGACAGTTGCGCCATGTACCTTAAGACTTCAGAATCTCCAAATTATCCGTGAGGTTATTCTATATTATAGAATATTATAGAGTATTATCGAATATTATCGAATATTATCGAATATTATAGAATATTATAGAATATTATAGAATATTATAGAATATTATAGAATATTATAGAATATTATAGAATATTATAGAATATTATAGAATATTATAGATTCTATCGAGTCTGCAGTCCCATGTTCATGTTGGAGACCCCTGGGCTTGCACCGTGGGCCCCGGATCATCCTGTTGGACTAACATGGACTAACCATCACCAAGTGTCGCTCGGACGACTGATGTGGCCAACAGTAGGTCGAAGAAGCTCACTCGGTAGGCCTGGCACCATCTGCATGGCACCTATGCAGGGACTTTCTAAATCCTTCTTGTACTGATTCCTGAAAAATTCTTTCCTTGAAATTTCCACACACTGCTAGGCAGGCAGTACTTCTAAATCTTGTCTGAGATTAACATGTCAGCGTGTTCTGTTTGAAAGGTCGTGTATGGCTTCAAACAGCAGACTTTTAATAACCTTCCCATAGGCGTACACCCGAGCTATCTTGATTGCGCTGCATCAAGAAGTAGAGGTTTGTATGAAGACATCTAGCAGCCATCTAGCGTGGAGCTGGTTGCTTAGCTTGCTATCCAATATTCTTTAGCTATCTTTAGCTCATGTCAGCTCACAAGAAAAACGGGCCACCCAAATCCATGGTGGTTTTTCTCTTGCCGTTCACAAAACCAAACCACATGATTTCAGGGCGTCAACTCAGATTATCGATTTCCCAGTCCTTGGGACTCTTTGTGGACTATTACTGTTGCCGAAACACTTCTATTCATTCTCAAAGCGTATTTAAGTAGCACTATGTAAATGCTAACATTGCGGATTATAAACCTGGCTTGCAGTGATACTCGGTAAGATCTGCGTACCTTTAAAACTGTTGCACAATCAGACATAATCAGAATTCAATTCCATGTTGATAAACGCGCATAACCTCAAAATCAAAACGTCAACAAAATGGACCAACTTTCCAAATTTCAAGCTTCCATGATTTGAAACGCTATTTTCAGCAAGAAAACAATGCCGCAAATTCAAAACACCATGGACCGACAAGACCCTTTCCGTTTTCTCTTTGTGTTTTGTGGTTTCACCATGTCCTCCATGGTTTTTCTCGTTCCGACCGTCGGGACCTCACAAACTGTGGCAGCATGGATGGATGCACCGTATTCAAAGGCAATGTGCTCGGGTAAGATGGATCCAGAGCTGAAAAGCCTCGGATCTCCAAACGCGGATTCCAAATGGAAAGTTGCAATTTATGACAGAAATATTATGAAATATTATGAAATATTATGAAATATTATGAAATTATATGTAGATTCATGATTCATGGTGATGTATATGTGTGTATATAGTATAACATCTACAATTTGTGCATGTACATACGTGAATTTTCTTTGACCAAAGTTCTCGCAGAAACAATCACAAACATATTTTTGCACATTCAAGTGCCCATGGCAAGGCAAGGCACATGATGTGGCGAGAACCCATCATCAAGTTCATACTACCTTCGGACCAGGGCTGCATGCATCTGCTGATGGGGTGAACGCTGTTGCGCCAACTTAGAATAGAAATCACAGATAGTCAAACTTTGTACTGATCACTGAGTGGTGTGTAAAATTATGTAAACTAGATCAGAGATGGTCAGAGCAAAAGAAAAATGCAGGTCCACCTCTGTCCAAAGTCATGTCATGTCATGTCCAACTGGGTGCTTGGAATCCCTCCGAGAAAATGCGGCCCACGCCTGAAACCATCACCCAGTAGTGTGGCCCTTGCCTGAACAGTTTCTCCCAAAGTTGGCATGGACCCTTGAGTGCTCCCGACAAAATCAATGTAGATCCTGTAGATCCTGTAGATCCTGTAGCTGCTGTGCAGATGCCCAGGCGGTGAATCTTAGGTGCCCAGCTGATCTGAGGCTTGGACGCTTGCACTTTGGGCACAAAGACATCGCCCGTGTTGAAGCTGTAGCGGATCGCATGCAACGCCACTGCTCGAGCCACCACGTCTTTCACCTTGGATTTCTACTGAGTAGCAAGATTTCCCATTACTTATGCAATGTATGGAGGTCATGCTGAGTCATGCTTAATATAGGATTTAAAAGGATATATATATATATAATATATACATATATATATATACTGTGATTTCCATTTGTGCAAGTACCATGCGATCCCTTGGGTTATCTCCAGGTCCAACAATAACCACTTGATGATGTTCAACCGCAGGTGTCAAGGCTCGGATTGCCTGGCAGCGGGAGGGTGGGATTTGTCCACCTTAGAGCCTTAGCTTCGGTGCACTTGACAGCACAGGGTGCTGCATAGGTTTTGGACGCGGCCGTCCTTCGACTTTGGTGCAGAGATTTCAGTGTTGCGGCAGGGCAGAAAACATAGACAGTGCGCTCCCATTTGGCTGGGTGAAGGGGACATTCATTGGACAGGGTTTCATACAGTTTCCTACATTCAAAGCCTGATCAGACCACTGCAGTTCCAACAGAGAGTTCTCTACCATTTACATTGGTAGCGGAGCTCCGGCTCTGACTACTAACAACAGCCTGTTTTCCAAGCCGAAGAAGGATCCAGGGAAAACAACGTGATGGCTTCCACATCAGATGGTGAAGGCGGACGGACCGACACCGGAGTTAGTACACAGCTTACTACTTTGGTCCCGACGTTTGACCCATCGAAAGACAGTCTGCAGATCTACAAACAGAAAGTTGAACTATTGCTCGCAGCATGGCCGAAGACGAAAATCACAGAGCTGGTGATGAGGCTTATCCTTAATTGCCAGGGCAGTGCATTCTCCAAACTCCAGTTGCACCAGGCCGAGCTCATGGAGAACGATGAGAAGAGCGTGGGAAAGGTGATTGAATTGCTTGGGGGCCATTGGGGCCGCATAGGACTGGAACGACAGTATGAAGAGGCTGAACAGGCACTCTATCACACAGTTCAAATGCGAGATGAATCGAACGACAGCTTCCTGGCCCGAGCTGACATTGCCTGGAGCAAGTTCCTGGCGCAGAAGATCTCAATGCAGGACCTTCAGGCCTTTGTGATGCTGCGGGGTTCAACGTTGACCCCGGAAGAAAAGAAGAAGGTCATCCTGGAGTCTGACAATAGCCTTGAAGGGAAGTTGACAGTAGGCCGAGTGTCAGAGGCAATTCGAATCCTAGGTGCCACGTTCTTTCAGGAGATGACTGGCCAGAAATCAACCAGTAAACAAAAGGTATACAGCTCAGCTACTCTGGTGACAGAACACGATGATGAAGAAGATCAGGTATACCATGCTCAGGAAGATCAAGGCGAGGAAGAGTTCATCGAAGCTCTTTTGAGCGAGGGCGACACAGATGCGGCTTTGGTCTCAGATTTTGAGGCCGCAGCCAATGAACTGCTACAGGAAGACAGTGACCTGGCCGCAGCTTACAGTACGTACACTGAAGCTCGTCGTAGATTGACTGAGAAGTTCAAGAATCGAGGGTTCTGGAACACAAGCCGTCCCAATCCATCACAGTTCAAAGGCAAGGGTTCTTTTGCCAAAGGTGGTGGAAAAGGGAAAAATAGCTGGAATCAGAAGCCCCGTAGAAGCCTTCAGGATCGAATCTTGAACTCTCACTGCAGAAACTGTAACAGAAAGGGTCATTGGAAGGCTGAGTGTCCTTTCAGATCATCTGGATCGTCAATGCCAGGGACACCATCAGGTACGTCCACGTCAGCCGGAAGCCAGCCAACGACCACAGTTTCAGTTGAGGGATCAGAAGACATCATGCCCATGGAGTTTTTGCACCTCCCGACTGTAGGTGAAGAGCCAATAGATGACACTGTGCCAATTTTGGTAAGTTTTTGTGAATCTGGGGCTGGTAAGGGAACTGTTTTTCCTAAGATGATTCAAGGGGAATATCATGGGGATAATGGGATCCATAGTATTACCAAGCCAACCGCAAAAGCCCGTTTGCAATCATGGGGCCTCAGGAGTGAAAGCCATGAGCCCCGATCGAATGCCGATGTTGCCTGCACACTGAATAGAAGCTTTTGCGCTCCGAGAGGGAACAAGTCTCTCTACCATGCCAGATTTCCGGAACATCAGCCTGATGTCCGTTCCGTGCCGGGGGTTCCATCAAAGACGAAACCGACTATCCTCATGTCAGAACAACCGGAAAGTGCCACTGCCTGTTTCGCATCGCATGGGTCACATGGAATCCTAGATCTAGGTGCCTCGAAGACAGTGATTGGTAGCCAGCACTTAGGTGAGTTAATTCGCAGCCTGGACCCAGACATCCGCCGACAGCTATCCCGGTGCCCATGTAATATTGTGTTTAAGTTTGGTAACCAGTCCACTTTGACAAGTTCTGAAGCCTTGGTTGTGCCCATTGGTTCACTCAGATTAAAGGTGGCTGTAGTCCCAGGTGGAACACCATTCTTAATTAGCAATACGTTGATGCGGACGTTGCGTGCCACGATTGACTGCGCAACCCAAACATTGTCCAGTGCCCAGATGTCGAAGCCGATTTCACTTCAATTAACTGCCAAAGGGTTGTTTTTGTTGGATATCAATGAGCTGATCAGGGCAACCATGGATAATGCCCACACTGGCCGAAGAGCCAGAACTGAGGGTTGTGCCGAGACTTTCATGTCCGAAGAGACCGCTGAAAAGAATGACCTCCAAAAGCCGCCGACAGTAGACCACACCAATGCAGCCAAGATCAAAAGTCGTGATGAGGCAGGTCAGGTGAAGAGTCATGTCCACTCAGGTGAAGAAACCAATAATCTTCAAATGTCTCAAGAACCAGATCGACCGACAGCCACTGATCAGGCAAGACCGTTTGCAAAGCCTTCCGAACTAACTGTCCCGCCGTCCAGTCATGTCGCTGTCGCAGAGACTCCGCCAGTTGCAGGTGCAGTCAGTTGTGGAACCGGTGGCAGTAGACCACCTCACCCTAGAGGAACTGTCATCAGAGGTGGTGACATTCGGGCAGAAGTTCAACGGTCGCACCTTCGAGGACACATGGCAGGACCAAGAGTGGATCCAGTTCATGATCAATCGCTATCAGAAGAGTCAGAAGGAGTCCCACAGGCGATTCATGAAGTATGTGGAGCTGAAGGTAGAGGCTCTGGAACAGAACCAAGGGGTGATTCCCCGAGGCAGCCAAGGGGGAGGTCTCACTCGTCCTCAAGCCAAAGCCAAGGCCACAGCCAAGTCCCACGCTGCTCCTTCTCTCATCTCTTCGCTGGGAGAGAGCGACTGGGACATTCCTTCCGAGATGTACGAGCCAGCGATTATGGATCATCGAGCTCTTCCAGCCTCAGAGGACTGGATGGCGATGCAAGCTCGCATGTTGAACATGGAGAACGCATTGACAAGAGTCATCCAACATCTGGAGCAGCAGACCAACCCGGAGCAGATCAATGCCGAGGACCAGGACCAGTGAGGGAGGACTGGGATGAATCAGTGCTGACCGCCATGCACCATGAAGCAAAACACATGAAACAGCTCATTCAACAATTCACACAAGAACTTCAAGAGATCACCAACCAAACCACACCCATGGGGAAACCTTATGAACTTGGTGAAGTAATGTGCAGTAGCAATTCTCCTTTGACACATCAAATGCTTCGGCTAGGCAAGTCAGCGTTCCGCTTCGGATACATGCAAGGGGACTTAGCCCAAGCATCCGGTAGAAAGGAATTGTTCCGGTTGATGGCCAGGCACCGACCAACTCATGTCTGGTACAGTCCCACATGTGGACCCTGGTCAGCATGGTCACAGCTGAATGCCTCCAGATCCATGCAACACCACGATGAGTATGAAAGAAAACGTTGTGATTTGCTGTATCAACTGGCTTTGGGAATTGTTTTGTATCGGCACCAAGTTTCCCTTAGTAAGCACTTCCACTGGGAACAACCAAAACGGTCATTGATGTTTCAGACACCACTTCTTGCGGAAGTTCATGAACATACTCAAGCCTGCCAGTTTGACATGTGTAGAGTTGGACACCTCAAGGACCCGGAGAACGGAATGTTCATGCAGAAGGGAATGACCCTATTGACCACGTTTGCACCTCTGTTTCAACAGCTGCATGGAATGTGTTGTGACCATCGACATGATCACCAGGCCATTGAAGGTTCATGCCGTGTCAAGAATGGAAAAAGCATGCTGAGGACTCAATACACCGAAATCTACCCAAGACGGTTTGCAAGAACTGTTGCACAAGTGTTAGGCAAAGGTAACCAATGCTGGCCATATAACTGGCAACCAGGAATGCTTTGCCTTGCAACCGTAGATGTTGGCGTCCCAGCGGCTGAGCCCAGCCTGGCAGTGACGAAAGTCCGGAAGCCACCAAGTTTTCCAAAATCGGAAGTGTTGTCTCCGCTTGCCCGATCAAAAGAAGGTGCCAAGAGATCCAAAACGGATCCCAACCAAACCTTGCTGCCAACTCTTGAGATGTGTCAGGAAGTCATTCAAGCAGTAGGAAGAATCCTGCCTAGAGTAGGAAAGACAGAGGTCCATGATCAAGATGTGTTGAACATGTTGAAGAATGTATTTCCTGACAAACAAATCCACCGAGTGATGGCCTGCCGGGGTACTGATAGAACAATGGCACCACCTCCTGGAATGCATCCGCAAGAGGCACCTTTCCGAAAGATGCTCATGCTGAGTAGGACTGGAGAAGTTCGCTTTGAAGCTCACTGGGAGAAATGGGTAGATCTATCGAAACGACAGCTAATAAGGCCATCCCATTCCTGTAGAATCAACATCACGGTGTTTGCTGTTGACCCCAAAACTACGGAGATCCCAAAGCCCCAAAGCAAGCCAGAACAGGAATGCCAGAAAGAAACGGCACCAGATCCTGCAAAAGCCGAGATGCATCCGGAGCCCAATGTAGACCAATTCGAGAGTCATTTGCATGAGACGCCTGCCCGCCGTGGGAAATCCGGCTCCGAAGAGGGCCTTTCTCCGAGCCATGTAATTCCTGTGCAAGTGGCCAAACCACCGAATGTGGAGCAAGTGGAAAGCGTTCCCGAAAGGCACACCAAATCGACACCTCCAATTTGCCCGAAAACCAGAGCTGAGGAAGGAACCAATACCCCTTCCTCGGCGGCCTCGATGCCACCACCAGAGTGCGAGAACAACCAACATGGCCCACGATTCTTGGGTTTGCCAAAGTGGGAACAACAAGCAATCATCCGTATGCACAAGAACCTTGGCCACCCTTCAAATGATCGGTTATCAAGAGCACTTCAGGTGAGTGGAGCGAGACCAGAAATGGTTCAGGCAGCTTTGGAAATTAAATGTGCGACATGCTCAGCCACTGCTCCCCCGAAACATGCCAGACCAGCATCCCTGAAAACTATGATGGATTTCAACCACAAAATATACCTTGATGGAATCACATGGACCAACAAGATGAACAAAACTTTCCACTTCTACCACCTTTTGGACGCAGGAACCAATTATCACATTGCAATTGTCGCACCCTCCAAAACTTCAGAAGATCTCATCAACCTGATCAATCAACACTGGATTAGCTGGGCTGGACCACCATCAGAGATCACCGTGGACTCTGGAACTGAGATGAATAGCTCAGAATTTGCGACGTTCCTGCAACGCTTCAACATCAGGAGCACGACCACAGTGCCAGACGCCCACTGGCAAAGCGGGCGAATTGAGCGCCACGGAGGCTTCTTGCAATGCATGTTGGAGAAGGTTGATTTTGAACATCCTATCAATGACTACGCATCCCTCCAGAGTGCGCTGAACCAATGCACCCATGCCAAGAATTCCTTAAGCATCCGCCATGGATATGCCCCTGAGGTAATAGTGTTTGGTAAACACTCCAGAATCCCCGGTTCAGTGTTAAGTGACGAATCCATACCAGCCCATGAGCATGCACTGGATGAAAACCAATCCTTAGCAAGCCAAGACTTTCGTAGAATGCTGGCCTTGCGAGAAGCCGCCCGTCGAGCCTTCCACTCAGCCGACAACAACGAAGTGTTGAGACGTGCAGCACTGCGCAGGTCATGTCCCTCACGAGGTCAATTTGCAAGGGGTGATTGGGTTATGATATGGAAGTCAAATCCCCTGAAGCAAGCAAGATGGCAGGGTCCTTTCCGGGTAGTTCTCCAAGATGATAACCACACTGTATGGTGCACGGCAAATGGGAATCTCCACAGAAGTGCCCCTGAAAACACCCGGAAAGCATGTCCTGAAGAGGGTCATCCTGAAGGCCCTGAGCTACCCGAAGACATAACACCACTGACCCAACAGATTCATCGAATGCAACAGGCCATCGAAATACAAGACACTTCCACAGAAATTCCCCCAGAAAGTAATCACCAAGAAAATTCACCCAATACGATAATCCGGGACCCTAATAACCAGAACCTCAATAACTCCGAAAATCCCGAAAGCCAAGATGGATCCCTCCAGCCTGAGCCTGAAGATTTTACATCCGAGGGTTCTCAGCCAGAACATGCTGGCCCCAACGCAGACATGACCAATGATGATCCACTCCTTGCAACGACCGAAGTGATCCAACTTGCGTGCCAGGAGATAGACCATGCACTGACGTGTCATGCAGAAGATTCCCTGGCCTGGCGATGTGAGTTCGAAATTTCAAGACATGCCTCAATAGGTCAAGACCAAAATGATGAAGAGAGAAATTGGATTATGTTGGCAACCTCCTCCAAAAAGCAAAGAACCGAAGTAAAGTTGTCAACGTTGAGCAAAGAAGAAATCAAAGAGTTTGAGAAGGCCAAAGAAAGTGAGATTCAAAATTGGATCAAGACAAGTACCATAAGTGCCATTCTAAGAGACCAAATCCCAGAAGAGCAAATACTTAGATGCCGATGGATACTTACTTGGAAACGACGAATCCAATAACCACCAGAAAAGTCACAAAGCCAAAGCAAGACTAGTGGTTCTGGGATACCTTGACCCCCGCATAGAAGAAATCCCACGTGATAGCCCGACCCTGAATAAGACCTCACGCATGATAGCTCTCCAAGTAATCTCATCTCATGCCTGGAAATTGCGATCCTTCGACATAAAGGCAGCTTTCCTTCAGGGCAAGCCCCAAGCCGATAGGATTATAGCAGTAGATCCTGTTCCAGAGTTGAGGCGTGCACTCCAACTGAAGCCACAAGAGATCTGCAAACTGAACAAAGGGGCATATGGACTCATAGATGCTCCATACTTGTGGTACTGTGCCTTGGTGACAGAACTCACGCGACTTGGATTTGAGACTTCGCCCTTCGATCCCTGCTGTTTCGTGTTACGATCACCACCTCAAGGTGACCAACCAGGTAAACTAGAAGGGATCCTGGGAATACATGTAGACGATGGTATTGGAGGAGGGAGCTCTTACTTCGAAGAAAAGATTCACCAACTAGAACAAAAGTTTGCTTTTGGTTCCCACAAAATTTCAGCTTTCACATTCACTGGAATCGAAGTCACCCAACACACAAACTACAACATATCCTTGAGTCAGTCATCATATGTCAGGAAGATCCCCTCAATCACCATAGAATCCAACCGAAAATCCCAACCTGAATTACCCGTCAACGAATCCGAGAGGCTGTCCTTGCGAGGGCTCATCGGGAGCTTACAATACGCAGCAATCAATACAAGACCAGACCTTTCAAGTAAACTCTCATTTCTTCAATCGGCAATCAACACAGCCAAAGTAGAAACTTTGATGGAAGCCAACCGAGTCCTTCATGAAGCCAAACGCAATCACGATGTTACCATAACCATCAAATCCATTCCAGTACAACACTTTCAACTCATGGCATTTTCTGATGCTTCATTTTCATCAGTCAAGAAACCTGACTCACACGCTGGCTCCATCATAGTAGGAACCCACCAAGATATCAGCCGAGGACTTGAATGTCCGATCAGTCCGCTTACATGGGGTTGTCGCAAAATCCAGAAGGTGGTGACAAGCACGTTATCAGCAGAAACGATGGCACTAGCCACAACCCTTGACCAGCTGTCGTGGCTTCGCCTGTTTTGGAGCTGGATCCATGATCCTCGGGTGAACTGGAAGAAGCCTGAAGAGACCCTTCCAAAACTTGAACCAGCGATCACCGTCCCTACTTTGATTCCCGAAAATGATGTTGCGATCACAGATTGCAAAAGCCTTTATGACTTAATAACCCGAACGGCCCCTCCAAGTTGTTCTGAGTTCAGGGTTCAACTAATGGCTAGGTCAATAAAGGAATCACTCAAGGAGGGCACGATGCTGCGATGGGTGCCAAGTGGAGCCCAGTTAGCTGACAGCTTGACAAAATCCATGGAATCCCACTTTTTAAGGGGAACCCTAAAGTATGGATTTTACCGCCTCAGTGACGAAGATGCCACCCTCAAGGAAAGAGCCCGGTCAAAAGACAGACTCAAATGGTTAAAAGCCCAAAATGAAAATAACCAGAGCGATCAAATACCTGCATAAATTTTCCACTTGCTTGAGTGTTTCTCAAAACAAAAAGAAAACATTTTTTTGGGAGTGTGATTTCCATTTGTGCAAGTACCATGCGATCCCTTGGGTTATCTCCAGGTCCAACAATAACCACTTGATGATGTTCAACCGCAGGTGTCAAGGCTCGGATTGCCTGGCAGCGGGAGGGTGGGATTTGTCCACCTTAGAGCCTTAGCTTCGGTGCACTTGACAGCACAGGGTGCTGCATAGGTTTTGGACGCGGCCGTCCTTCGACTTTGGTGCAGAGATTTCAGTGTTGCGGCAGGGCAGAAAACATAGACAGTGCGCTCCCATTTGGCTGGGTGAAGGGGACATTCATTGGACAGGGTTTCATACAGTTTCCTACATTCAAAGCCTGATCAGACCACTGCAGTTCCAACAGAGAGTTCTCTACCATTTACAATATACATATATATATGTAATATACATATATATATATGAGTACAAGAGTGATTCCCTACTGGGATTAAATCATGATCCATCATGATCCCCACATATCCTGATCCCTGGTGACTCAGTGGACTCATCCCCCATTTCCCGACAGCGACAGCAACCAAGCTTCACTGACATTGAAGGGCAGGATGCACCTGTGCCCATCGTTTCTCCGTATGATCTCTGGTTGAAATCTAATGTAACACATGCACGATCGCAGTAGCCTCTTCAATTGACAAATACACATGGACAACATTGGACAGCTGCATTTAGAGTGAATGAAAACTGCTTTCAGCTGCTGTCAATTTGCGTCGTGCATTCAAAAGTGGCGGAGGATGGACTGTCCATGTGCGATTCGCACATATTGGCTACGGTGCATTGTTGACTTGACAGGTGCGTATAGGTGTATAGCAAGAAATGCTCACATACAATATGTACGTACATATATATATATGTATACATAGGCATGGCATTTTGTCAATGTAGACGTATATATATATTATATATATAACATCTAACAATGCATATATATATATATGTATGTGTACATACGTAAATTGGATATAGATACCTAGCAATTACACCTATGGCCTCTGGCTGATCTTTCTCAAAGTGGAACAAATTTTTGACTAACAGCACCAAGGAACAATGGCATACCAGCTTCCTGAGGCGATTGCCGGATTTTCCATGCGTTTTTCCAATGGCGTTTTCTATGTAGAACTTGAATCTGTAAAGTTTGTAAAATGTCTGTTTTTCTATTTTGGATTAGTAACTGATTGGTAGAATCAGTTGACACAATCATCACAATCTTGAAAGGGTGTCTGACTTTCCACACCAATATCAAGACGTCTTAGGCTGCTGTTTCACATCAACCCTCCGGTCTCCAAAGGAAAAACAATGGCAAACTCAATGGTAGTCGCTTGGGATAAGTTGGTTAGGGTCTTTCCCAATCGCACTCTCTGAACACCTTCGGCCAACGTGTCAAGACTGTCAACATTGTCAAGTGCGCTGAAGTTGTACTGAATCAAACATCCCGCACTGTTGACGAAGGATTCCTCACAAACACATATCTTTTTGCAAGTGATTTTAGGTCGTTGAAACATCGTTGAGGCTGGATAATGTTGGATGCTGTTTAGTGTAGGGCCCCCTCCCCTCAAACAATTGAGGTATACCCTATTCTTCAATATTTTGTTGGGACCAGGTCTGGGGAATTCAGGATGATCAACTTATATAAGTAAAGATTTCAATTGATGCCAATCTACTTGCAATTGATTTTCCTTTTAAATCTAAAACAAACTCAGGATTAGTACGGGTTTCAATAATTGCCATCTACGTTCAATTCATTTTCCTTTAGAACCTAAATGAAATCCAAGGATAAGTATGGATAAGTAAGGATTTCAATTCATGTCCATCTACGTTCAATTCATGTTCCTTTAGAACCCAAAAGAACTCTAAGGATAAGTAAGGATTTCAATTCATATCAATCTACTTTCAATTCTTCTCTCTTTCTACTCTAAAAAAAATCTCAGGACAAGTAAGGATTTCAATCCACAACAAATTGATTTCTAAAGTAAATGGAACAGCTTTATCCAAAAAAAGGTGGATTAAAGGTTTTGAATGGTCTTGATATCTTTTACCCCAAACATTCCTTAGGACCTGAGTCACTCATGGGGTACCCCCTTGAACAAATGAGTGGTTATGTTTTAAACTAAGGGTTACGGTATTTACAGTAATCATTTGGGGAAGCTTGCATTTTAAGGATTCAAAATAGAATGGAGAATTGGAGTTCCTCAAATTAAATGGTATTCTTTCTTCCTTGACCTAATTTGTTCCTCCTGAAAAAATTGGGTCTGGGAAAAGAATGTTCACAATAGGGTTCCACCCAAACAATTTCAGGAGACTGAATTAATTATTGTGGATGTTTTCTTTGCACAATAGGGTCCCATCGCACTAATCAGCATCCAACATTAAGTCGAATTTACTCCACATATCTCCATAATTTCCATATAATATTAGAATATATTAGATTATAATAAAGATCACTTAAGACCAACTTCGTGAGATGCTGTGCCAAGCCCGAGCTCACCAAGCTTCCACTTGCGATCGGCGCTCGGAACAGAGCTGGTCAAAGCGCTGCCGGGCTGCAGATGCATCGTCACCCTGTGGAAGCTGCAGCCATGACCGTTCTTTTCATGGGAAGCATGAAAAGAAGTCGGGCTTAAAATGCCGCAAAAAAAACTGTAGTAGTTATAAAATGTTATAAAGTTATAGAGCCATAGATATTCATATTATATACACATACATTACACACAACATGTGTTTGTCCAAGAATGTCACAATATTCTGAGGCTGATCTCAACACCTGAGTCAACGGCCTGGCCTGAAGAATTCGAGAGATGAGGTTGGCGGTGATCAATACCTGTTGGTAGCGCCAATTGCTTTAAAAAAAGGCACTGATTGCTGTGGATGGAAGAAATCCTGCACCACCTTGGATGGTTGAAACCCTATAAACAATGGGATAAACCATCTATCAACTGGTGCAGGATTTCTTCCATCCACAGTTGGCACTGGGACATGGAAGTGGAAAACAGACCCATGAAAGGTCTGTTGTGTCAGAAGACACATTGACATGTCATGACATGTCCGTGTAAGCTTCAGGGAGGATCCAGAGACGGAGGGACCGTTTCTTTTCGTGTGCTGGGGACTACACACTGGGAGATGATCAAAAAGTTCCAGAGCAGACATGAAAGAAGAAAACTTGTGAGTACGTCACCAAAGTACCAGCCATGATTGCAACACCTGGTCCATAGAATTCGATGCTCCGTCCAAAATCCAAATATCTGATGAATACGGTAATATTAATCTATATATTATAATAATCTATACATCTATATAGTATCATGATATCAATCTGTTGGCATGGACATAAACATTAAACACATGACAACCGACAACATGACATAAGCATGACCAAATCCTTCAATTCCAAGAAATCTCTGGCCAAGGTGCCGCATCAGAGTTGCTGGTGGCACCTGGCAATCGACCAAGGCTGGGGCAGTGGCCGACGTTAAAAAGACTTGGAAAGTGGAGCCATCTTATCTGAATCTTTATCTGATTTTGAATGATTTTGATGTGTTTCATGGGATTTTCCCAAACTTTGCCAGGATGAAGACTGTCCGGAGCAGTGATTTTCACCACGTCAACTGCAACGAAAAGGGCCGTCTCTGCCAAGTTGCGGATGGTTGCGGTGCGCCATGGGAACAAGCCTAGGACCTGGAAGAAACAACCCATTGGGCAGGGCCGTGGATGACATTCAGAATCTCTGCATATGGAGGTTCCCCAAAATGGGGGTACCCCCGAATCCATTTGAATAGGATTTCATAGGATTTATCCATCATAAACCATCCATTTTTGCGTACCCCCATTTTAGGAAACCCCCATAACTCTGCTTCCGAGATGCTGCAATCTCACCGATGACAGCCCCATCAGACAAACGGCCAATCAAATCTCCTGGTCGGTCCGGCAGAAACGATGAAACATGATGGAACCAATGATTGATGCGACAAAAGCAATTACACATCTAACTTCCAAAACCGATTTTTCGAACAAGCTCACCAAATCTCAATTGCCAGAACAAACATACAACATCTTTAAAATTAGATAAAATATGATAAAAATTACCATCATTTACTATCAACTGACTCCTCTACTCCTAAGTCATTTTTAGTATGTTCGTAGACTTTCCTATCATGGAAAACTCCTGGTTCATCAGATTCACCGGCTCCTGACTTGGTGTAGACATCAGCCTCGCCCTTCAGGAAAATGATCCTCAGCTCAGCTGAACTGGGACCCATGCCATCCAGCTGGGACCCAACTGCCATGACGACTGAGAAGTTCCCTTCACACATCTTCACACATCTTCACACTGTTTCCATCATCTTCCATCCCTGTGACCGAGTTTCATTGAGTCTGCTCCGTTGCCGGCAGTGCACACCACTTGTCCACCTTTTCAGCGATGCCGGAGAGAGGTGGAGAGACTATGGAAGTTGGTGGTCCAGCTCGATTTAGGTATCCATGCAGCAAGTGCATATTGCGGCTGTGTGCGCGAAACGAAAAGTGTGGCATGGAATATGATGGGAAAACTATGGAAAACTCACACATTCCAGTCTGCTCCCCAGGAGTGTCAATCATTAGAGATAGGCTCCATGTGGCACAAACAGCGCCAGGGACACCTGCTACAGCCCCAAGGACTCTTTTTGAGCTCGCGCACAGCCCCTTTGGCTGAGGTCAAAGTCAGAACCTTGAAATATTTCAAACATTTGACTCCGGATCCAGGATAGTTCTTTCTAAGCAGGTTTCTGCAGTTGACTTCAGCCAAATTCATGGATATTCATGGCGGAATGTCAAAAATTGAGTTGGACAGTAGTCAATAGTGGGATGTCGCATCTTTGGCTCATCCCTTTGATATACGCCTCCAGCTTTGGTCCTGGCTTCAGGCCCAAAATCAGCGGCAAATAACGCACACGGCAGAAGAAGATCACGTCGTCGTAGCCTACGGAGCCGGAGGTGTGGGGGTCATCATGACAAGACGAATTAAAGGGGGATGTATACCCCTCATGGTTCTATGATAGAAGTTCTATGTGTTTTTCTAAATAGGTGTTTATGTATGTTTTGAATTGTTTATATGACCTTTCTAGCCATTGTAGGGCTCTTTAAAGAAATCCAATGGAGGCATCTCTTTTGCTTTCTTAGGCATCGCCAAGTCGCCCACCCCGCCCGGAGAGACACTGTCCTCCTGAACGATGCTGTCCGCGAGCCATACCCCCCCATGACACGTACAGAAACAAATGTACCAGTAGTTGATGAATGTTGATAAATGTTGATGAATGTTGATGGTATTTCATGGAATTTCCATCCGGAACACCTTACCTTGCAAGTGATATCATCCACATGTGAAATGTTGCGTGCATTTGCCTTGGACTGGGACTATCAGAGTAGAATAGTGTTCCTGTAATCTCTCTCTCTATTTCCGTTGTTTTTCGCAAACCAGATTCTGCAAAAGAACATGTTCAAAGACCAATTCTGTTCGTGGACTGAAAATGGCTAAAGAGACGTTTCTTCCACAAAGTTAGACAATAGATAGTCTTGGGAAGAGAAACAACATCTGCATGCGTGTATATATGTATTAGTATATACATATGTCAAAGAGTCGCTGACACAAAGGGTACTGAAAGATCGAGTCTTGTGGACCGCTCTGATACGATTCTTTTCAGAAGTCCCATGATCTCGAACCATCAGAGACCATCCCATGATCTCCAAGTATTCTCGTCCTGGAAGATCAAATCTTCTGCTTCCTTCAGATCTTCATTGAGCTTGGGAATCAACTCCTTGTCGCTCCGCTGCAAGTTCTGCTGATACCAGGAGAAACGCTTCGCCTGGTCCCAGCTTCCTCAGCGCTGGAAAGGGATGCAAAGAATCAAGCTGTTCAAGCGAAGATGAGAATGGGATAATAACATTTTATATCATTCAATAATTTAGATGTAGATAATGAGATGATATATCATGTTGATGTAAGAATTTTAGAAACTCTCCAAACAGGTTCCAATCGGTCGCAGGTTTCCAATGAAGTATCACCCTCATCAGCCTGGCTAACGTGGAATTTGCTATCAGCTGATGAGTGATTATCATAGGCTATGGAATCAGAGGCTATTAGAAACACCTGCCAATAACCAATAAATACCAATAATCTATTAGATCTATTAGGAATCACCGGTTTTCTATAGAAAGCCATCGGACTTTGCATCCAGGCTTCGCCATTCATCTTGATGTGGACGCTCTTCTCCATTCGGCCCTTGGACAGGATGCTGCGCCACAAAGTACTCGCGGGCACTTTGGAATGTCAAGTCCTGCCATGCAGGATACCCTTGAACATGCAAAATTGCACCCAGCATCCAAACAATCAAAGGATATCAAAGGGACATTCCCATCCGTTTCAGGGAACAAATGTCATAATTAATATCACCTTCCAAACAATTCTCTTGGGTTTTTACATGTTTTTGCCACAGTTCCCGCGGCCCAGCTGCTGTCCGGCATGTAGGCGTGGACAAAACGCGTGTGAATCAACAGCCGCATCAAGGGCCTCTGCGAAAATGGAGATTAAACCCCAACGACCCAAGGACCCAACGACCAGTTTCTGCAACATTTGGGAGTTTCTGAGACACACTGAGTAACAGCTGATGGATATCATGAGGATGGAATCAAAGGTCTGGAGTTGCATCTGAGTCTAAATCTTGATCCCAAAAGTGGTTGGACTGTGTTGGACTCTATATGTGCGTTGTGAATAACCCTGCGTGAATGTGCCGTGTGTGCCAAGACTCCGAAAGCATTGTCTTGAACATCCAACAACTTTCAAACTAAGGAGCAGGCTTTGTAGCCATAAACAACACCATGAGATGGCCATTGGTCAACCACCGAACAGGAACCATGTGATTGGTTAATGGTGACCTCTGACTGCCGAGAAAAACTGACACAAGCTGGATGAAACAAAAACACAGGGATGGAATATCTTGATACAGCTGAGAGTTTACCCTTCCTTTTCCCTTCTCTAAAAGCAAGAAACACCTTAGCTTATGCAACTAATGGTTGTCCAACCATGATCTATGGCCTGATGGTTCAACCAAGAGACCAATGATTCTTTTCGAAGAGCTTCAAGTCCTCCCTTCCAGAAGCCTTCTGCAACAGTGGGGGACCCCACCTCCTGAGTTAACCAACTTGATGGGACTCAATAGGAACCATGTGATGCATCTTAGGAGTCATGAAATTGGCCTTGTGATCATGAAATATCATGACCTTGCTGAAGACTCACCAATCACTGACTTTCATGCATTGGAGTGGTCAACTGGTCAACGAAACTCGAAAAACTCTAATAGAAATTGCACAACGAGCATCGCATCTTCATCCACTCGCTTGATGATATCCAAGGATTCTGGGAATGGATCTTGGCCATGAAGGTGAAGAATCGGTGCCAACTTCTTCCCAATCAGAGCACTTGGCGTCTCCACATCATCATATGACATGAAAATCAGGCGATGTGGGATCTTCTTCAGTCCAAAAATCATCCGCGCTCGAGTACAAAAAGGGCAAAGATCATAGACCTCACAGTTGTGGGTTTAATTCAGCATGGATGCAGAGTCCCTCATCGTGGGGATAGTCCATGACTACACACTGAAACCTTTGCAGAACTGAATCAGCCACAAAAAAAAATGGTGAGCCTTAATACAAGCTAATCCATATCATATCCACTATCATAGAATATCATAAAATCACATAAAACCTGCATACATCTTGAAACAAATCGATCGGTGACGTAGAGATCTGGTCGTTCTGCAGTGGGTCCAGGAAGAACTGAGAAGTTCCGCAAGAAACGCCCGGTCCATCGATGCCGGTTCCACCGTGTTCCGAGAAGAACGATGCAGGACGTCATGGCGTCAGAATCTGCTGGATGGCGTGAAAATGTGCTTCATGGACTGTGGAGATGTGTGAAAATATGACAAATATCAAAAATAACATTGAAGTTAAAGGATATTAAATGTCCACGGAAAATACTTCTATCAACAGAAATGTTCAGCTCTGATTCAGGATGTTGGGATGGACTTTGGATGAAAACAAATCCCTTCAGTGACTGGCATTGAGATGCTGATGCTTAGCAGATCCAAGATCTCTGCAGGTCCGTGTCGGATCGAGGAGGACTTGACCCGCTTGTGGTACTGCTGCACTGCACCGCTGCTCTGAAAACAACACGTCAATGGATGCCATATGATGCCATCTGACACTGCATCCGAGACACAAGTGTAGGTGGCCTGAAGAAGGTGTTCAGCAATCTTCCGGATGATTGGCTCTGGAAAGCCTTGAAAAATACGACCTCATTTGCGACGCGTCCAAACTGAGGCGAGAAGTTACCAGATTTCTTCGGCGGGTGAACATCACACAGTTTGTCACACTCATAACCTGTGCCTGGGACGGCTGGCTCCTTGTCCAACAAAACACAAGGAGGGATGGTTTCATTATGTGTTATTGACAGCAGGCTTGCCTGCTGGCAAGCCAAAGTACACCCAAACAACATGGATCTTCATGGCGAAATTGCCAACGAGCTGCAGGTGTTCAATGCAGGAATGACCTGCTCCTGCAACCACTTCTGCCTTGGTCGACAGCACCTGCCGTCTACCATCCAAAAACGTGGATTTGTCCAAGAATGGGGCATACTGATACCCCAAATCTACCGGTTGTTCATGTTTTTGTTCACCATATTTCCCTGCAAACTGGCCATTTAGAGGTATCCCAGGTTTTATCCCATGTCCATTTTCCAGGTCGGTCCCACTTGGGAACCAGGTCACCAGACATATGCAGACCAGTTACCGCACACGTTCCACCTCCTTGTTGGCAGAGGCGCGCTTCTGGAAGATTTGCTGTAAGGATTGGTACTCATCCGGGAAGGCGGTCACCGCCCTGGCACCAGCCACAAAAAAAGGCACCAATGTTGGCTACTGATTGGTGTGGGCCCCCCAAGAATTTTTAGGATAGTCAACTTAAGTAAGGATTTCAATTGACATCAATCTACTTTCAATTGATTTTCCTTTTAAATCCCAAACAACATCGCCCCAAAAGTTTTTGTGCACAATAGGGTACCATCCAAACAATTACATTATTGAGGATCTGGGTCACTCATGGAGTACCCTCTTGAAAAATTGTTTGGGTGCTGTTTTTAAATAATGGTTTAATATAAGGCATCTAATTATTTGGGAAACCTTGCATTTTCAAGGCTTTAACATGGATATGGCTTTCTAAAGTAAATGGACCAGCTTTACCCAAAGAAAGGTGTATAAAGGTGGATAAAGCTCCTCCTGAAAAAAAAATGGATCTGAGAAACAAACTTTCCACAATAGAACCCCCACCCGCACCCCCACACACAAAATACTCAATTATTTTGGAAAAATGTTCCACAATAGAGGGCCATCACACTAGTCGGTATCCAACATTATTCATAACTGTTCATAGCTGTTCATAGATATTCATAGATATGCTCTACTTGTATCAAATCATTTGGGTATGGATCAATACCTATCAAAATACCATTTTGAGTGGGTTATTCACATCCATTTTAACCCAGCTATTTTGATGTGAACAAAAAAGGGGTACTATTGGTTTTGACCCACTGCCATTTGGGAAGGTCATTTTTAAAACAGCCGGTTTCATCACCCATCGATCCCATGTGGCGAATGTCCACAGCACCTTTGCACTGAGCTGCCGTGAAGCCGAACGGCTCGTACCAAGCTATCACGCCAGGCCTGGTGGAGGCTATCCAACTCACGTTGAAACACAGAGAAGTGATGTTCAATGTGTAAACATGTGTAAACAGTAAACATGGAATTCATCTAGAATCACTATGAAATTTAGATCAATTTAGTGACAGGTGAATCTATGTATGTTCCCCTTGATTTCAAGAGAATCCCTTGATGTTCGCTTCATCGGCTGGTTGTCACGCTTCCCTCCGGTGCGCACCCGCACGGTGGCGCCACGGATGGGGGCGATTCCCAGTGCACCGCCCTCGCCCACCACATCGCCAGGGTTCAACCTGCAGCTCCAAAGATATTGACTTTTCGGGCCAGATTTGTCGGCCCTGGCCCTGTATGGACCTGTATTGAGCCATGGGGATATCATGAAACCATAGTGCAGCAATTCAAATGAAAAGTGGAAGTCTTCCGCCAACGATCCCTGCCTCCCGAGCTCATCCCCATACTCTCCTGCCAAGTCACAGCTTCTTTTTGAGGAATGAAAGGGAAGATCCAAAACCCACACCCTGCTGAAACATTCAGCAATTACGCCAAACAAGGCTTGACAGGATCATAACCTGCCATTGAAATGGGAAGAGGACAAGGATGCTGCCTGAGAAGAAGCCATGCCTACCCTTTTGTCTCTTTCTACCATTGGCCTGCCACACCAGCCGCTGGCCTTCTACAATAGCTGCCCCTTGCAGCAGAATATACCTCAGAACATGGCTATGTCTCCCGTCCTCCAATTTCAATCTTCACTTTCCCATTGGAGTTCTTGAGGTTTCATCCCACTTGGTAACCTTACCTATGGACCTTACTTTGTCCATTTATCAACAGGATTATAAGATATTATAAGTAGTTACAACTTAGTTATAATCTATATTTATCTATTAACGAAGCATAGGATGAAGCACCAAGTGCTGCTGAGATGCATCAGGGACTCTCCCAGTTTACACACCTCTCCGCGCCGGAAGATGTCGTCCCCTGGACCGAAATAGACCTCCAATGCCGTTGACATTCAAATGAAAGTGACCCCCAAAGAGATAGGAATGGCTTTCCCTTCCACTAGTTTATGCATTTTCTTGTGTGGAAGCCCCCTTAAGATCCTTAAGTCGCAAATCTGTCGTTTCCACATGTTTCCACAACTACAGGCCAGCAATCAATGTACCAAAATACACGACAAACTGAAGCCCTTCTCTGGGATGGGCCCCATCTTCGTCGTCGTTACCACAGCACTGGATCCAGCCAGCCTCATCTGCGCGCTCACATACCACCATCAAGAAGTCTTTGCTGACCTCAAACAGGCTGATCTGTGAGGTCTGGTGCTATCTGCTGCTCTGCTGCTGCATCACTTACCATCCTGTTGCTGTGCAGCTGTTGGAAAATGTCCCGTTCGGGATTTATGGGTGGAAATTTGATCCCCAAGTTCAACTATGTCTTATCCCAACAACATTTGAATGGAACCTGTTTGGGAAACTCTCTAAAAATAGCTATATAATTACCCCAAAAGTTCATCGTTGATCATCATTTTCCCTATGGAGATACCCAATAATTATCCCATAATTTTCAGACACACACACACATTTTTTACAATGTTCTTTCATTTTGCCATAGCCACATATTTACCACATATTTACCATAAATTCACCCCACCTTTTCCCCGGAAAAAAAACAACTCGGCTGAGCTGGGCACATTCGAAAAGGCGCGGCTCTTTCCCAGTTGGACGTTCAGCTCCGACGCGCCAACTTCCGTCTGACTGGAGCCCATGGCCATGTGATTGTACCTTAGGAAGCGACAAATCGAGGGATTTTTTAAAGGCAGAGAGCTATGCTTTATTTAAAAATCAATAAAAGTAATGATGAGAATTATCATCATTACTTTCATTGATCTAATTGATTGTTCAAGATGTTGTTCAGTGAACATCAAGATGAAATCATACTGTAGGTATTTGATGATGATTTGATGTTGAGTGATTTGATGTTCACTGAATACGTTCAAATCATCAAAATGTGCCCCAAAATATGGTGATAGATGGCGATGGTATGTTTTGACCCATCCCCACATGAGCTCACATGTTTTAATGGACAACCTGTTGCAAAGAGAGATTCCAGATGATTTCAGAAAATCCATGCTGAAGAGGAAAGGTTTCTGACCATTGTAGCATTAGAACTTGTCACTTGTGACGTGCGGTTGATGCTGGGGTGGTGATCTGAAGCTTCAAAATGCACTTGTTTCACACGGGCTCCGTTTGCATTTGGCAGCAAAGAACACCTAAGAGTCCCTATGCCTGCTTCAAGATTGCCGGAAAGTCAGAGGTTCCAACTCCGGTGACAAGGAATATTGGTCAGCGTCATATCACAAATGCTGACCGGTGACAGTTCGACATGCGATGGGAACTCCTCCAGCACCTAGCGCCAACACCATGGGGCGCAGCTGGTTTTTGGCCAAGTCTTTTCTGCATGCCCAGCAATTCCAAGGGGTCATTAAAAGTCGCCAAAAGTCATCAGGAGTCATCAAATGTCATGAGAACTCCTCTGGTTTGCCTGCTTTTTGGTTTTCCTGTTCTGGAAATCAGATGAAAGCAGCACTTACGACACATCCACGTGCCACATTCTGTGGATCTCACTTTCACTTTGATTTTCTAATATGTTCTACCCCCCCTGTCTAGTCTAGTTGGATATGAACATCCCAACAACCCAACATTCCCCAAAGTTCCACAGAAAAAATTCCCAGCGAAGAAGGCGGCCTGTTGAAAGACGTCCTGCGTCAAGGCCAGAGCGATGCAGCGGGTGGAGGCTCGCGTACGATTGGGATAGGTACCTGGGCAACCCAATGGACCCAGGGATTTCTGGGCATCGGATTTCCTGCAGGTTTGATGATATGGAAAATACTGTTGATATCCATATAATCATTTTCCGTATCAATATATTCCGACAGAATCAATATAATCTATAATCAATATTGGAATATGGAAAATACTATTGATTATATTGATGTGTCATGATGTATCATACATAATCCCAGTGATATTGATGATAATGTTCAGTCATTTTCATTCATATCATCCCCATAGCCACTACTGGATTTCCTGAATAATTACTGTATACAATATGTAATATGTACTAGCCTCCTCTGGCTATGCCTTACTTGCTTGTAATCACATGTGGAAGCCAAACTCTGCCCACAACAGAAATCAAAGAACTTTGATGCAAGGTTCAAACCACTTCCGACTCTACATGGGATGCACAGGGGAAAAAACTATATCTCTGCGTCTCTGTTTCACCGAAAGGTCTGAAATACAGATCAGCGACGTGCAACACCAAGAAGAACTGACTCCTTAGGCACCGCTGAAGCAGAGATTGGTAAGATGAGTCCATATATACGTTCATATTATATATATTATACTGTGTATGTATGTATATATATATATATGTGTGTGCCCACGTCATACATGTACATATGTATATATATATATATATATGTGTATTCCTACATAGTGCTTCCTACTTTTGGCAGTATTGTTTCTCGTCTGCACATGTTTCAAAACATTGCTGATCTGGATCTCATCATGCACGGAGATGTGTGTAGGTATCCAACCTTCTGAGGTACTCAGAGGTACTGCTGCGGCCATTGGTTATCGGGGCGTGGACCCATAGAATAGTATATGGTAGACTGATGTAGGCTGTAGAAGTATAAACCTAAGTAGTGATGGAAGGGATGAGAAACCGATTTCTTTCAAGGTCCTTGCGAATAGTAACATGAAAATCATCTAACAAGTTATCAGGACCAGTAGCCCTATGGGTGCGACGTTGCTCCTTGATGTCATTCTGACATTGCCAGCATGTTCCTAGAGGTTCGACTCCTCCCTGGTCCGCTTTGTCTGTCTATCTCTATCTATGTACCTATCAGTCTATCAGGCAGTCGGCTGAGATCAGCTATTGAACCTTGTTTTTACCGCCAAAGACATCCGCCGAGGTGCTCCAAAAACACTGCCAACCTTCAAAGGCAATGCTTTGCCTCAGCGACTCAACAGCACCAGGAAGAATGGAGGTATGGGGGTTTGAAATGGCTTGGTTTCTGGAAAAAAAACATACAGGAAACCTATGGAAATATATGGAAACCCATTGGTTCTTCATCCCAGATATTGGGAGTTCCCTCTAAATGTTCTTCAATAATTCTTGGATTGAAATGTTGAATACTGCCTACCAAACCAAGTATATAAGCAAGGGTCCAATGGGATTTCTCAGCTGAGTTGCCATGACACAGGCCATCACCCTCGTTTTCAGCCTCACCTTCCACCAGCACGAACCTCAGATTCTGCATGGCAATCAGGTTGCCGCTTGCCATTAGATTGATTCTGTATCGACATCATTCATTTTTTGACGACACTATATCAATGTTCCAACCCTGCAGTCCAGCTACCATCTTTTGAAATGATTTGACATTGTGACATGCTGAATTTGTGGTATGTTCGGTCCCTTAACTTTGGATAAGACATCACTGCCAGGTGGCATGCAGTCGCCGTCTTGGCCAGCTTCCTTGGGCTGGGATCATCATCGAACCGTAACCATTGGATCTTGGGATATGTTGGGGCTATCCCTTTTTTCGGGAAAATGACGATTGTGATACATATACCCAATAATAAACCATCCAAAAAAAAGTTGCTTCATTCATCATTAGGCATAAAAGCGAACTTGGGATTTCAAACGACCCCCAGTGACACTTTTTGGACACTTTTTAATGCTTTATGGCTTTATGGTTCCTCGTGACTTAACATCTTTTAACGACATGAAATCATCATCTTCCCGGAGAATGTCGCCGGGGCGCCGTGATCACCGCGCCGGGCTCGTAGATCCGGGCGTCGATGCGTTTCCGCAGCTGATCCGCGAAGTCATCCGCGGCCACCTGCGATCTCTTCACCAATCCCAGGGTGTTCACATCATAAGAAGAAGAAGAAGAAGAATATGTTTCAAAAACTAAAAATAATGATGGTAGATAAGTAAATATAATAGATATGTGTATATATATATATAATAATAGATAATCCACGCAACAAGATCCACGCAACCCCAATAACCCAATATACGTCAGAAATTCAAACGATGACAAAAGTCCGCGGTTTCTGGTTTCCACACATTTACACAACGGGTTCCCACCAGCACACCGCAGAAAGCTCACCTGGATCACTGTAGATAGAACCAAAGCACCACCGGGGTCTCCTGGAGTAACGATGTTCCATGGCTACTACCTACAGGACGACCATGGCTTCATCACACCGGGATGGCGATACAATCAACAAGGTGTGTCTGAGAATGGGGTGCCCCAGAACCAACAAGGTCTTTCAATATGTTATAAGAATCTCACTGGGTAAAGCCCATTTTCAGACAAGCCGTGATTCACCAAACCTGGCATCGCAGCAACGGCGCTGTCCTCGTCCAAAGCCCATGCTTTGCTCGGCTTTTCGGGCGATCTCATTGACAATGCGCTGCATGATGAAGTCTCGCTCTGTAGGGCACTCCTGTTGGGGCGCTGAAAAAACAAATACGCAACATACTATCCTTGGACCCAAGAGCAACAATCTGGTGATAGGTTGAAGGCTTCAATTGAAAAATCTTGAAAACATGCATTCAAGAAATTCTGTATCATTATCATATTATATATCATATTGTATCATATTGTCATATGTTGTCAGCGTCAGAAGCATTTCATTCAGCTGCGCTCCAAGACAACGCGATCAAAGATGTCAGCGGTCCTTGGTGGTTGGGATGCGAGGGTTTTTTGAGCGATGATTCCGGGTTTTTTTGGGAAATACCCGGCCTGGTCGGCCTGGTAAACATACAAAAAGCTATTGAAAATGGTGATTTATAGTGGATTTTCCCACTCAAAATGGGTGGATCTTTCCATAGCTATGTAACAAATTACCAGAAGGTATGGGAAATGGTTTTGCGATTTCCTGGATGCCGCAATCTTTCAGATTCAACTTGCGCAGGTATTGTTGAGCAGCTTGGTTCCAAACCATCCAGAACTTGACAAGACTTCTCTGAATCTAAAAGTCTTCCCAAGCAAACCATTCACAAGATCAGAGGTAACATGACCTACATGACCAATGTTTCGCCCCTGCTATCATTTACCTATCATTTACCTACAATATCCTGTAATATCCTACAACCAAGCCATAGCTGAGAGTCATGATCTGCACCTCGCAGTTGCCCTGTGGTTGCAAGCGCCCCTCCAGTGGTGGCAGTCCAAAGAGCAGCTGCCTGGGATCGGCGTCGCTGGTCACCAGCTGTCTGTATTTTGCGAGGCGGCGATGGATTAACCATGATGAACATCAAATCTGGTTGGTGGTTTCAACCCCTCTGAAAAATATTAGTCAGTTGAGATTATTATTCCCAATATATGGAAAAATAAAAAATGTTCCAAACCACCAACCAGAAATTGTATCAAATTTCAAGCACATGACTCCAGAAGTTTCGGCAAAACAAGGTTTTGGACCATTGAGTCCAGGGAGGCCCTGGCAACGGCCTAGCTGCCTAGCTGGGCAATCAAGTCTTTCATCCCCGTGAAAAGCCAGCATTTTGGGGGATGCCCCATGCTCCCACAATCCCCATCTGCAGGCCCGAATGCTCATTGAAACAGGTGCCCTCAGTGAAGACCAGTTCACCCTTGTCTGGAGTCACCACACGCATCCTCAGCGCAGGCTTCCGAGGTCGTTGTGAGATGTCGACAGGATGTTATTCGGGATTTTTTGGGATCTCCTGATCGACACCTTTCAACAGCCGAGACACTCTCCACGCAAGACAAGAATGGCGGCTTGCTCAGGTAACCTTGGTCTTTTGCTCTGAGTCTGCTTTCTCAAAAAGATATGGGCAGCTTTGACATCCAAGTGTTGCAAGAGAAGCAGTGCAGATTTACCTAACAGCGGTGGCAAGGAGCTGTTCACCATTGAAGGTGGACCAATGTCCCTTGGCCGTGATGTGTTTCCTCACAGGAGCTGGGAGCTTGCCGGAAGCTGGAGGAAACATGTCCCATCCACAAACGTCAACGATAGTGGATCGATGAAAATTGGGGGCCCCAAAATGTGATGATTCACTAGTGACAGAGATCAAAACCATCCAAAACCTGTAGGAATCTGTAGGATTCTGTAGTTCGATAGGCCTTAAATCTTGAACCTACGTAACCATTCCCCCTTTTCTGGTTCGACGCTCCTGGCATAGAGGTTGATCAAGGACAGCAACTTTTGAGAAGCGCCCTCGAAAAGTGGCCATTGCGTACCTGCCGGCGGCTTGAAGCTATGGTGAAACAAAACAAGACAGAGATTCTGCTGGGGGTTCGAAAGGTGATGTCTTCTCAATCAATTATATCTATATAATTTTATATCTGTTTGTACCATAAGATGCGCGCTTCACACAGAAAAAAAATGACATACACATGGCATTGTCATATCCCAAAGCGATCCAGTGAATGAAGAGTCTACAATCAGACTGGAGAATATTCCATGAATTGGGAATCCCAGAATCCACCAAACAAATACCACCGTGGACTCCATCATTATATATATATATATATACATGTATGGGTTTATAATAAAGTCCACGGCTTATTTATATATATATATATTGGTGGATTCTTCTTTATGTTAATTATCCCATATATAATTAATTATATATATAATCATATATATATATATATAATATAACCATTTGAGTTCAGAAAATCCATGGCTTCTTGATGGTTTTTGGCATCCCAAAATCTTGGAGCAAATCTTGGACCATCACCACAAGCCATCGGGTCATCCAGCGCACTGGCCACCACCACACCGTGCTGACGGCCAATCTTTTGGAAGTGTTCCTGCTCCTGGCAAGGTCCAACGCTAACGCGAGCCTGGAAGGATCTGGAAGGGGGACTTCCCAAAGTCTGCCAGTGGCAGGTGCTCCAGGAATCATGTATAAGCAAGATGAGTAAGTAATACTACAATTACAGAACTACATACTACATAACTACTCGATATTATATTACACTATATATGATACTATATAATACTCTATATATATATATGGTTATTGATCAAAATTCCTTTATCCTATATTATATTACTATATACTATCTACCAATCCAATGTGGTGTGTTTCCTGATACCTCAGCAGCTGTCCTCAGGGTGATCCTCCAAGGCAGCAATGAACGCCGCTCGTGGCATCTCCAACACTATGCAGATCTCCTGCGCGAGGACTTCGCCACTGCACTGCTAAGCTATGCTAAGCGAAAAAAACTGGCTGATACCAGCTACTGATAGAGCTTCATATTGGCTAATAAGCGGCTAATACTGATACTGGTGAATACTGGCTGATAGTGATACTGGTGATAATTGTTGGCTGATAGATCTGATAGTGATACTGCTTGCCATGCTGTAAAAACTGGCTGATATACTGGTTGATATACTGGTTGATACTGGGCGAGCCATGGCCAAATGTCTTCATTTCTTCCCCCAAACATGGCGCACCAGCTATGTTTCCAGCTCGCCATGGCGCCTTCGCTCGCACCACGGCACTTCGCCGCTTCACGAAGCCTAAAATGGCCAACTCGCCAAAGCTCTCCCCAGAGTGCACCTCAACGCAGAACGCCGCAGATGGCCCCCGCAGGCCCATTGGATCCCATTGGGGCCCCCTGGTTACCCTACTGGATCCAACCTGGCGAACATGGCGGAAATCCTCCATTGAAAACGAACATGTGGGCTTCGAGTAAATGTAGATCATTTACATTGATTTACACTGGAAATAAAGATGTTCCATGATTTTCCTTGGCCATGTTTGATTACAATATCACAAGAAGGTGAGAGGGAATGCACATCCAAATGGAGAAAATCATTGAGAATCAACGAGTCAGGACCTTCTTCACGACCGGCAGTCGCACCTCTTTGACGAAACGATGATTCACGTAGATCTCAGCCGATCCGCCTTTGATAATGTACCTGCATTCAGCTCAATCCTGCAATTCGGGAATGTTTTTATTGGCTCGAGATGACACGGAGTAGTGAAACGCCAGAACATGCGTTTGACCAAAATGGAACAATCTTTTGACCAAAAGGGTCTGGATTCTGGATACTTGTTGCTCTGTGCAATTTCCCAAAGGCGCTTGCAGTTTAATCTACTATAATCTACTAATCTATACTAATCTACTGTCCAACTTACTTTTGCTGCAGTCTGCAACTATCCGCAACTCCTTTTTGGCATCACCACTGTCACATGGGGCACATAGATCCACTGTCGACTGCACCCTGAACAGTGATGGTATGTCCAATCTTGTAGGTCACTGTGCGAATGCAGCCTGGCCATGGCCCTCGCCCAGCGAACAAGTCACAGCTCTGGCACAAGGACGACTTCAGCTGAGCGAAGAAAAACAACATGCAATTCATGTGGCAGAGTGTCAAAACCTTGTACCCCTGGTGAACATCAAAATAGCTGGTAAATGGATGTTCATCCCACTAAAAATGGTATTAATAGGTATTGATCCATACCCATGTACCAAACTGGACCACGGATTGGGTCATTGGGTGTCTTTCTTTGCTGATTATGAAACTGTGCAAGTCTTGAGTCTATTGAATGCCCTTTCATTGTCGCCCATTGTCCAATAGTGAAGCACCAATCGTCACAGAGAGCTCTGGACATACACTCCTGATGACTATCACAATTATTCACAATTCATCACATGATGTCACATGATTTTAGGGTACACATAGAGTTCCTGGTTAGCTAATGTTAGCTATTTGGCGAGCTGAACAGATTTGCCAAAGCATCCAGTTCCACTCAACGCCTGCAATGGCTTGCAGGAATCCCGGACCACAACCCTGCAGAATACCTCAACAAAAGCATTCTCGAAAAACGAAAGTTGACACCAAACAGTTTGAACTCTTTGTTGATTTTGTTTATGATGTTGATGTTGTTTTCTGATTTCATGGGATTTCATTTTTCCAGATGTTTCCAGATGTTCAGTTTCTGCTCTGGAAAATTAAAATCCACGCCAAGCGACTGAGGCTGGCCGCATCGTGCTCGCGCCGAGCATTGCCGCCATCGGTCTTGTTGGTCTCCTATGTGCCATATGTGCCATGTGGCGAAATATCGTGGGATTTCCCAGACCAACCCATTTGGAATATTATATGGGATATTATCATATATTATCATCTATTATTTGGGATATCATATTCCAATTGGGATATTTTTTCGATGTCCCACAGATTCCAAGTGGAATATCTATGATATCCAATATATTTGGAATATTACTGTATATATTTAAGGATATCCAATATAGTGGAATATATTTGGATATCCAAAATATTTGGGATATTATAGATGTCCCACATTTGGAGCACAAGTTACTGTATAGCTGTATAGCTGTAGCTGTCCAGATCCTGTCAACACTGTCGAAAGATTGCTACAAACTTTGAATATGTTGAATTCTTCGGCTGACGACTTGACGCCAAACAGAGCCATGACCTTCACCAGTCGAAATCGTTGCTGCTCAGAAGGGTAGTTCTCTAGAACTCCATTGAAAGACTGCCTGGCGCAACAAAGTGGGCAGTGCTTCAAGCAATGACTTGCTGTGGTAAATTCCCATCGGATCAACTGATTGGGCAGTGCGAAGATGTCAAGGGCTACTTCCGCTACTTCCATGCCCCATGTGCGCTGCATTGTCCCGTTGATTTTGCTGTGCGCACCACAACAAAAACCGAAGGCCTTGGGATGAAGAGTAACAACGCCAAGGGAGTCGCAATTCGAAACGAGGCATCCGGCCAGTTCGACTGCATGTTGAAAAACCTGAATCGATGGAAGAAATCGAAGAATGTCGAGGCTGAAGGAAGTGATGCAGGTTGAACCAAACCCCTGCGCAGCCTGCAATATCCTGCATTACTCTAAGTTTTCACAGGCCACTTTACAACTCGACTGAGCGAGATATGGCTTGCGATCCTAAAGACTTACCATGTGCCTAGAGACACATTTCGCAGGGTTGGAGAATTCTGGCTTCTGGGTCAATTAACTTTAATACATATACCCTCTGGTAATTTAACATAGCTATTGAAAATCACCATTTTTAATGGGAAAATCCACTATAAATCACCATTTTCAATAGCTATGTTAAATTACCAGAGGGTACGTATATATTTATAGCATTATGGAGCTATACCGGCTATACCCAATTTCCACAGCCGGCTGAAGTGGACTTTTTTTGCACCTTTGCCCATCAGGACCCACCTGCGTTCACCGAGCACAGTGCCAACGTCACACCAGCCACAGTGCTTCACTGCACCACCTGACAGCCAGAAATTGCCACTGAAATCCACTTTGTCATGGCCGGAAATGGCTAAAATATGCTAAAATCAACAACACAGTTGGAAATGCTATAATATCTATATTAATATTTCATAATCATTCATATGAATGGGTTGTGGATGGGTTATGAGATGTTATGAGTTGCTGTCAACGATTCAGATCAATCTGCATTTCGTTACTCATGATTTGTTTATTGCCTTTCCATCCATTCCAACCCCAAAGGGCAAGGAACAGACGGAACAGACTCTTTTTTTAGCTTTCGATGCGACAAAGTAAAAACATATCCTCAACTTCAATGGATTCAAGAGTCCCATGTGGCTCTGGCTGACTTGCAGTGGTTAAATGTATAAACATTATTAAACATTCACACAATGAAGCATGAAGCAATTTTGAAGTCCTGTTCTATCTGTTCGCCTTCCCATGATTTGATGATATTTGATGGTGCCCAGCCATGCCATGGCCACAGCCCGCACCTTGTCGCCGTTCCACTCGGCACCGCCCGAATTCGATGACCCGCAGGGTGTCGTCCATCACGCCCTCCTGTTTTCCCACCAATGTTGGGGGCCAGTAATCTTGAAAATTCGCGGAGATGGAGACTGGCACGACACAACTGGATATCCATATATTAGTATAGTTGCATATATGTACAACTGGATATGGATACAACTGGATATCAAATCATTTGGAATCCATATGTGAACCAAAAACATATATGTGTCTGAGGGCTAGTGTGGTTGGATGGTCACCTACCCTGTTGCACCAGTGCCTCGCGGCAGGCATCACCAGCGAAGAACACCTCTCGAGCTAGAGTTTAGCAGGGTCGTTTATCCAGTAGCCAAGCGAACATTCCTCATGAACACCTTCATTTTTGTTGCTTAAATCATAAATCTCCATTTGAATAGGATAGAATCTCATTTTTCTATGCTTTTTGCAGCTGGCTTCCAGGAAATCTCACTTCCCAAACCCATTGGTTGGTTCACGATTCCTTCAGTGGATTTAATCCATACCTAGAGACCTGGCAGGATTTGAGCCCGTGACCATCTGCTTCCAAGACCGCTTCAAAATGCCCCAGGAGCTTGGGGGGGGTCCGAGTGAAAAATCATTGTGTTGGACTCAGGCCTGCCCCTCCCCTTGCTGAAGCAAGAGTAACTCCAGCTAGCTACCGCCAGCTTTCGTAACTAATTCCCATAAATCATAGTACAGTAATCATCACAAAACCAGCTAGTACAATTGTGTAACCCGTGTACAACCCATGGCTCAAACGTCTGGACGCGAAAGCGGAGAAACTCCCGCACCTTCCGTTCAGAGACGCTGGCCACAGCACGCAGAAATGGCAAATCGCACGAGGCAAAAATCTGCATTCCCTGCAGCACTGGTCAGTGGTCAACCAGTCAAACCTATTCAAGAAATTGGCAGTACCTACAGTAGGGCCTAGGGCCATACCCATATATGATAAAGGCTTCAAAGGACATACACGACGAGTGAGTTGGGAAATCCATCGAAATCCAATTGATTGGAAAAAAAATGCATAAAAACTTCGAGGCGCAACACTGAGAAAATCTTGCCTGCGATCAACCACGAGTCGATTTTTTGATGTCAATTCCCGGCAAGTTTCATGGAAAAAATGCCTTCTTTTCAAGAACAAATCAAATATATAGCAATTTGATGCAATTTGCAATTTTGAAGAAATTTCATTTGACGATTTTCCATTGCATTAATTGTAATTAATCGTAATTCATCGTGCAAAAAAAGGAACCACTTTCTCCGGACCTTGAGTGCTTGCGCCGGTCGGGGAAGGGAGCCCTGCAGCTGCATGACCTGATTCTGAAAGGTAAAATCTTCACAGCATATGAGTGATATACTGGTTATAATGGGATAATCATCTTTATAATGGGATAATGGGATTATATACCAATAATAGTGGTTCTAATACCAATAATAGTGGTTATATATGGTTATATGATGGGATATGTATACATTACTGGTTGGTGGTATACCTACCCCTCTGAAAAATATGACTTCGTCAGTTGGGATGATGACATTCCCAATATATGATGGTTCCAAACCAATTAAATGAATAAGATGGGCAGTTGTTCGGAAATTACTGATACTGACATCATCTGCCATCCTCTGACACCATCTGACATCAGTGATTTTAATCCTGCAAAGTACTGATTCATGTTGTTATGGGATAATCATCTTTATAATGGGATAGTGGGATTATATACCAATAATAGTGGTACCACTATATCTTGGGTTTTTCATATCATACCAATGTTGACTGCAAAAATCACTCCCAAAACTCCAGAGCCCGTGTCGTGGCGATGAAACACATGGGATCTTGGACACCCCGGGGGATCCAGAAAGGGACTGGATTGGTGTGCTGCCACTGCGATTTTTCATGGGATAGAACCAATGTCTAACCAATGTCTAACCAATGTCCCAAACATCCAAAGTGTTCCTGGAAGGAAAATTGAGACACCCCATGATGAATCTAACTCAAAATTTCTGATTGTCAAACCTATTGAAGATTTACAGGCCATAGATGGCCATAGCATTGACTTCAGGGTGAGATCCATGGGGATCCTATGGCTGGACTGGCTGGACACCCAAGGCCCAAAGCAGCCAAGTTGCGATTTCACGCAGCCGGCCCATGAAGCCTGGGAGCGAACCCAGCAAACCCGCGCAGTCCCACAAACCGAAATACGGCGATGTTGAAAAGGGACATGTGACATAACTAAGTAATGATGACTATTATAAACTGTTTTACATTTTTTACGAATTACTAGGTTTCCTTCAAGTTTGGTGATCATCCTCCTGAGAGGGTCCAGCAATGCTCAATGTCAGCCATGCCCAGGATCCAAGGAACTACCGGTGATGCCCGGGTACAGTGCCAGCGCATCTAGGATTACCTGAGAGCAAGCGGGCTACTGCAAACTGGCCTAGTTGTCGACGTCATCATTCTTGTTGTCAGTTATCATCATAGTAATAGTAATATTAGTAATAATAGTAAAAATGGTAATATAATAATAATGATAATAATAGTAATACGGATAATAATCGTAATAATAGGTAATATATTGTAATATGTAATAATAGTCAAATAGTCATCATCATCATCATCATCATCATCATCATCATCATCATCATCATCCTCCCTCGTCATTCATCCTGCCTCAGGACGCTTGGGAGCTTCCTTGTGTCATGCGCCCAGGCACACTGGGAGGGATGGCAATGGCATCCACCTCCGTCTGAGCTCTTACAGTGGCACCGCGTGGCACCATGCCGTGCAAGAAGCAAACCTGCAGCTCAGCTCTGTACCCTGGTGATTACATAATGTTACTTGGTTGCTTGGGAGTTATTCCCAAATAAGTCCAATTGTTTTAACAATTTGGGGATGCATTCCCGAATATGTCCGACTTGTTTAACAATTTGGGGATGGACAGACATTTAAGGCCCAGGGTGTCATAGATGCTGGTCAGTCTTGGGCCTAAACCCTCTCATTGTCGCAAAACCACTGAACTCACCCAGTTGGGGCTCTCCCCTGCAGAATCCAGGAAAATATGGCAAAATAGACCAAAACACATGTCGATGATGAAAGTTGAAAGCCAGGGCTTTCGGAAGCACTGGCCAAAACAACACTATGGTCCACAAAAGTGAAAACAAAGTCCATTAATAGTGCACCCAACCAATCCAACACCAACAAATCCAGATCCAGAGAGCTGTTGCAAGTTGTAACCCATTTAGAACCCCTCATAATCCTCCATCCAAACCACGAGGTAACCATCAGGTCCCACCCTAAACGACCCCAACGACCATCGCCACCAAGTGACGTCTCCCAACACGGCACCCTCCGTCAAGGTACCAATGATCTGCGGAACCGCCTCCTCTCCATTGTAGGCCAACTTCTCCACATCCGCCTGCGAAAAAAGGAGGTTAAAATCGGTCGATTCATGGAAATGCCATGGAAAAACATTGTTTTGTAACTGGTGTTTTGTAACTGGCTTTTCCTGAAAACCCAGTTAACCTCATTCAATCAACATCATAAAAAATAATTGGTGTGTTTCATGGTTGTTCATATGGTTAAATCAATGGTTTTTCATGGTTAAATCAAAAGCTTCACCACCGCGAGCCTTGCCACTGTTGATGGCGATGAGCCAATCTGCAGCTTCTCCTAAGTCATCTTCTTCGACCTGAAAAAGTGGCACTTGGAGCTTAAATGGGATCCCAATAGGAAATGTGAGTGTATAAATTTAATATATATATATATATATGTGTGTGTGTTATATTGTATATGCTATAGTATATATGTCATATTATATATGTATGTATATATATATATATATCATATCTAATCATATTGTATATGAAACGGTCAAACGGTGGGCTAATCAAATCTTTGATGCCCTGCAAAAAGTCAGCTTCCAACTATAAGCATTGTATTCCAGCCAAAATATAATTAGAATGATGAGTCCTCAACCTGCCAAAACAAGGTTTATCCGTTTATCCCGTTGATGTCCTGTTTTGGTGAAGGGTCAAATGTGCTCCATGATTGGGCCATACATGGGCATTTCCATTTTGAAGTCACGAGCGACAAACTGTTTCAGAATCTTCGAAAACCACGGAACCAGTGGCCTGTTGACAGGTGTCTCAAGTCAGTGTCGGATTTCAGAGCGGGAATAAAACCAGTTCAATCTGAGACATGCAAACCTTCTCCAAGGGCCCACTTCAAGAAGTCTCTTACACGTTGCTTGGAAGTTGCCAGGCTCAAACTATGCCAAGATCTCCCAAGATCCATCAAGATCTGCCAAGAAGCTAAGGTGTCCCGAGGATAGTAATGCTTCCTCTGACAGCCACAGGCAATGAGCCAAATGACCTCTGGTGGAACCTTAAGCGACTCGGATCGTAGATCCGAGTGGGGACACTGTGGATCTGGTCATCCCACAATGGGAAGCCTTATATGGCTTTGGACATCCCTGTGGCACATAAGGTTAATTGATGTCAATTGATTACTCTATCATCCCTTATCATAGCCGTCATAGCCTATCATACTGTAGACCGTACCTTCTCTCCATAATGGATCATCATGGTACATCGATTTCTTGTGCCTCAGTTTCCAGTGATATCAGCAACTTGCAGCCAGGAACTCCCGGAAAAATACCATGTCTCAAAATGCAAATGAAGTGATCCTCAGGTTGGGCCACAATGGGCCACATGCCCCGAAATCACTCCAACAATGCCACATCATTTCTGCCGTGACAGTACCCATACCTGTTGTATCCTGTTGTTGCAGTCCTACATTCTTCCAATGATAACTCATATCAATTCATATCAGGCCTACTTTGCACGTGGTGCAGTCTCTTGCATTGTTGCCCTGCAATTTCCTGGAAAATAAATGGACCAAATTGAATCACACATGATCCCTGACTAGAAAGACAAACCTCGCCGCCTGTAGGTCGCCGCCTGCAGGCACTTGTTCCCAGCTGACAACATGAGAAATGACAGTTCGCTAAAGCAGCTATCGTCAAACCAAGCTTCCGTTAGCACAGAAAGATTGGAGTGAAACGGTTTCAAGGCTTCCCCTTTGTGCATAATCGGTTCAATGACGTCCTCAGCAAAGCTGAAAAGAGATGGCCACGGCTTGGCTGCCAAAAGGACTAGATCGGCCAATGTACCTTCAAGACATTAGTGAAATCATTAGTGTTCCCTTTTGTATCCTTTTGGATGAAAAAAGAGCCGAACTCTGAAGTCTGACCAAGATAAGCCTTTTGTATCCTCAACCGTTGCAACGGACACAACACGAACACGGCTGAGGGTCCAGGGTCAACATCGCCACCTTGACGCTCTGGTCATCAGCTGGCTTGATATCCTCATCCCGACAGAATGGACACCTGTTCCACGTTTGTATCCACTAGTTCCATCTACCCTCTGTTTATTTAACATAGCCATAGCCATGGAAAATGGCCCATTTATAGATGGTTAACCTATTAAAAATGGTGATTTTCCATGGCTATGTTAAATCACCAGATGGTAGTTCCACTGTCACTGTCCAATACTCTCAGGCACCAAACCAAAGCTCTCCAATATCATTGAACTTCATATGCTAAATGGATCTAGACAGAACATGATTGGTCCTCGAGGCAGCGCTTTATCTATTCAACAGTCTCACTTGAGTCGCATGCTGAAAGGTCCCAGCTGAATGTCTGATCATGTCTGATCTGAATAGCATATGTTTGTACCATTCCATGTCTGATCTGTATCATTTTCATGGACATGTCACAGCGATGCATGTGATCATCTTGGGGCAATTTGCCATCCGCCCACTGCCCACTGTGAATGTTCCACTGGACCAGTTCTTCCCCTGGCTGCAAGCAAGGGACCATGCGGAGCCAACCCGAGAGATTGGTTTGTTTCGTACCCACGCCACAAGAGATGGGGCAGAGGTTGTAAATATTCACTACCTCATCCTCAGCGCTGGCCAAAGGAGCAGAAGCACTATAGACATTGGAGCATTGGATGAACCCCATGTAGATAAAACAAAACGAAGAGGTACAGGAGCTCAGGAGTTAAACATGTTCGGTGACAGCAGAATATGAATCAAAAGCTTGAGTAGTGGCATGTAGTGGTTGTTTGGAAAAACAGATACACTTGCTGACTGTAGGCCGATACGAGAAGCATGAGAACCTGTTGCTTCTTGATTCTCGTTGCAGAAATGTCCCTGCTCGTCTGCCGACTATCATAACATGTTGCTTCGGGCACAATCGTCTTCACCAAGGAGAACAAGATGCTACCTACTAGGTTCTTATCAATTAATCATGAAACTGGATACCAAAAAGTACCAGGGATATGAACATGTACTTTGACAGGCCGGCAATATGCAGGATATCAACCTATCTCAATTATATCTGTGATATTTGCATGGATTTGCAAGTTTTTGCCAAATTTAATTCTCTCTCTCTCTCTCTCTCTGTTCGGAGACG